ACCAAGATAGCCGCGATGGTGAACTGGCCAGTACAGAAGACAGTGACTGAGTTGAGGAGCTTCCTGGGGATCACAGGGTATTACAGGAAATTTGTGAAGAACTACAGCTCTATCACGAGGCCGTTGACCAAACTTTTGAGGAAAGGAGGGTTTGGGTGGAACCAGCGGGCAGAGGCAGCTTTCCAGATGTTGATGGAGGCGATGGTCTCCACTCCGACCTTGGCACTGCCAGAATTTTCCCAAACCTTTGACATTGAGACCGATGCAACGGGGAAGGGCATTGGAGTTGTACTATCACAAAATGGGCATCTGATTGCTTATTTCAGTAAAACGCTGGCCCCTTCCAAGGAAGCCGGGTCTACTTACCAGAAGGAGATGCTGGCCATTACCACTGCATTCCAGGCATGGAGGCCTTATTTTCTGGGGCAACGATTCCGGATCTACACTGACCACTAGAGCCTCAAGCATCTCCTGAACCAGAAGATCTCGACTCCAGATCACCATAAGTGGCTGGTAAAGCTGCTGGGCTACGACCTCGAGCTGCACTATAAGCAGGGACCATCTAACAAGGTCGCCGACGCATTGTCCAGGTGCGAAGGCGGGGAGACATTGGCGGCAGTGACAGGTCCGATAGTGCAGTTTTGGGATGAGGTCAGAAGGGTAGTGGAGACTAGCCCGTACTTACAAGAGCGCAAGGCGATGGCTATTAGTGAAGAGCCAGGGGACTTCACCTTTCGATATGGGCTGGTCTTTTATCGAGGCCGGATTGTGCTACCGGCAGGGTCCTCTTTGGCTACTACTATCATGAAGGAATACCATGACACCCCGGTTAGCGACCATTCTGGGCATGAGCGCACCTTGAGGAAGATACGTGGGCAGTTCTACTGGCCGGGAATGAAAAATGAGGTGAAGTCGTACGTGGCATCCTGTGACACCTGCCAGCGTGTCAAGGCCTCCCTATTGCGCCCTGCTGGGTTGCTACAGCCGGTGCCGGTGCCAGAGCGAGTTTGGGAGGACATTAGCATGGACTTTATAGTCGGCCTACCTCCGGCGGGAGGTAAGACAGTACTGTTGGTAGTGGTGGACCGGCTCACCAAGTACACACATTTCTTGGCTCTAGCTCATCCGTACACCGCTAAGGCAGTGGCAGAACAGTTTGTGTGGGGAGTCATCAGGCACCACGGGTTTCTGGCAGGAGGTATTCTCATTGGCTAAAACAGAATTGAGGATGAGTTCTGCTTATCATCCCCAATCCGATGGACAGACAGAAGTGGTTAATAAGCACCTAGAGCAGTATCTGCGGTGCTTCGCGCACCAACAGTCGCGCGGATGGTTAGCTATGTTACCCTGGGCGGAGCTGTGGTATAATACCACCTACCATCGAGCGATCCAGAAGATCCCGTTCGAGGCACTGTATGGCTGCCCTCCCTCTACTATGGTAAGGTACACGGACGATACTAGCGCAGTGGATGCAGTGGACCGTTGGATGGCGACGAGAGATGAAGCTCTGCAGAAGTTGAAAGAGAAGTTGGCAGGATCGAATAATTGGATGAAGTTGTTAGCTGACTCCGGACGGCGGGAAGAGGAGTTTGCAATGGGAGAGTAGGTGTTACTACGATTTCACCCGTATCGACAGACCTCGGTATTCAGGAGAGCTTATCAGAAGCTCGCAGCAAGGTACTTCGGGCCATACCAGGTGGTGGAGAGGATTGGGCAAGTGGCGTACCGGCTACAACTATCGACGACCGCTCGCATACACCCCACATTTCACGTTTCATTATTGCGTAGGTACCGAGGAGCTGTGACACAGGAGGAACTCCCGAAGCTGTCGGTGAATGAGGATGGAGGTCTGGAGCTGGCGCCCAAGGAGGTCCTCGAGACTCGGTGGGTGCGACGCGAGAAGAAGTTGATAGAGGAGAGTTTAATCCACTAGGAGCACATGGTAGCGGAAGATGCCACATGGGAGGACACGGAGACCATTCGACAGAACTATCCGGCGTTCGACCTTGAGGGCAAGGTCGGTCTTTCAGAGGAGGGGATTGTTAGAAACCCGCTTGGGCCTGGGTGGGTTAGACAGGGCTCGACCCCTTCTTTGTATTTTCGGTTCATTATCTGTTGGGAGGCACTATATAAACTTTGGACTAGTTATTTTTCAGATTATGAAAGAAGAATATTAAAACCCTAAATCTCTATGTCTCTAGTTCTTTCCCAATCCCTCTCAAATTTCCAATCCCTAATCCTAATTTTTCTTCTCAGTTCTTCCTCATCTAACCCCAATCAAGCGGGTTTCTTACAGGATCACGGCCTGCCACACGATTTTGTAAGGGAAATTCTATGATCCTGGAAAGCCCTCTATAATTAATTCCTTGTACTTAGAGCTGGCCGAATAACCTGTGGTAGGAGATGAATCCCACACAATTCGTGCAAGACCTGCAAATAGACTTTCAGATGGTAAAGTGTGAAGCATATTTAAGAAACTAACCCTCTCCCTCTCAGCCCCTCTAAGGTGTCCAAATTCGTGGACCCACGGACTTTAAGGGTCCAAATTCGTGGACCCACGGACTTTAAGGGTCCAAATTCGTGGACCCCACAAATTTAAAAATTCCAACAATTTAGGTGGGAATTAATCATAGACTTTGAAATCCATCACTTATGAGCAACCTACTTCTCCTCTTATCTTTCTCTTTTAATACAATTGAGGACAATATAAGTCGATTTCACTTCATATATACAAATCTGATTAACCAAATCCACCATGAAATCTATGAAACAAACAATGGTGTTTTTCAAGTCCTTAATGAACCCAAAACTCTCATATATCCATGGTTTTACAAAAACCAAGTTTTACCAGAACCATCAATTTTCAAATTCACGTAGCAAACGACTAGTAAGATTCTACCATGGTGATGTGAAAGTGTACCATGGTGATATGAATATATCATAGTCAATGTAGTCAAAATCGCGCTTAAAAACTTACGATTTTACGTTTCAAGGTCACTGAAACGCTTCTACACAAAATTTCAGTTTTTATAACTTATGTAGTTAAAAACTCCGCTTTAAAACTTAAAAAATTTACATTTTATGCTTCTAGATCCCCAAAAAGTTTCTACGTAGAAACTCGCTTTTGACTACATTGATCATAGGATAGAATAAGATAGCCTCTCCCTTACTTTAATTTGAAACCCTTTTCTCTACCCTCTCTATTCTCGGTCCCATTTCCTCAAGTTTCCAAGGGCTGCCGCCGGCAGCTCAATCCCCTCCTTTGCTCTTGTTTTCCCCCCATTTGTGCGCCTGCTTCTCCTAGCTTTGTTCTAGGTGATTTTCCTTCGGATTCCAGTTTTTCTCCTGCCGTTGTGGCCTTTCAGCTTCCTTTCCAGTCGAGCTTTGTCTCTTCTTTTCCTGGCGATCTTTGTCTCTTCCTTCGGTTCTTGGTTTCTCCTGTTCTAGGTTTGCTCGTTGTAGGATCTGGGGTTTGCAATTTGGGTGCCTGTTCCAGATATGGATGGTGGTGTTTTTCCCAGGTTGGTTGTCTCATATTTTGGTGAAGCCATTCTCTTCTTTCCCAATCCGACCTTCCCTTTGTGTCTTTGTTGTTGGGTGAGTCGTCGAATCATGGAGGGTTGGGTCTTCTCCGGTGGTTGCGGTTGGGTATCAGTGTTCTCCGTGGAGATTTGTGGCTCCCTTGGGACCTTCTCCTCTGCTTCAAACCTGATGTCTCTGCCTCAGCTTCCTCTATCTTTTCAGTTTGGAGCAATCTGTTTCATATCCTCATCCAGCGCCATGCAATCTTGTTTCTAGGATTCACTGTGATGGGTGCAATTGAGTTATCCCCAGGAGGCGGCTTATGGTTTGATGTGATCAATTTCCCTGGATTTCGATATGATCGGACAAACTGATTTCGATCTTGTTGCATTCTAATAGGTTGGTTGCAAGAGAGATTTCTGATGTTTTGTTCTCTTTCAAGGGTCTTGTTCGGATGGGTGGCTGCTTTCATTCTGTGTTGTGCTCTCTATTGTTGCTTTTGCTTTTCATGGTTTGATCGTAACCAGGCTCCCTTGGCCTTTCTCTTGTTGAACTAGAATGTTGGTTCTTTGTCTCTCTTTGTAACCGACTAGTTAAAGTGCAATAAAGATACTCCTTTGTCAAAAAAAAAAAAATCATAGTATATGACACTGGAGATTTACTAATCGCCATTTACCACATTTCATAAATGTCTACTACCAGTTACCATCCTATACCAAGGTGATTTAAGATGGTCTATTTATTCATCAAATCCCCCCTCTGGAATTTATAAATCACAATAGATCACGATAAACACGTTCCTCTATGAGAAGTTTTTCAAAGTTTGAGTTAAAATAAAGGTGTTACAAAGTGATATCAAGGTGGTAATGGATTGTATAAAATATTTTATCTTGAAATATATTAAAAAATGAATATATTTTTTAGATTACAACGAACTCGTTTCATATTGAAAAATAATATGGAACTCAAGTTAAAAGAGAGAAGATTCAAGTCGATTAAAAAAGTATGAAAAATAGAAAGTATTTTAATCTAAAATTTTATATCTGACTACACTTAAAATCAAGAGGCAAGATATAGTTATGTATTTGTGCATAAACAATGATTATTCAGCCTATCTTTACTAAAATATCTCGTTTGAAAATATAAAAAATCACAATATTTTGATATATGACAAATTGATAAATTGATGAGAGTAACAATTTAAATTGTCCCAACTTCTCATATTAGAACGAATCAGAATCCAAAACTAACTCAAATTTTTTTTTTTTGGTATAAAACCTCATCCAATCCACCCGTACAGAATTTACAGACTGTAAATTTCTGACAACATTGTTTCAAAGTAGCAAAGGAAGAAAAGACAAGAAATGAAGGAGGGAAGCAATATTTCAAGATTCTATGATTTGCTGAGGAGAACAACTTCCTACTTACTGTACAAGCGCTAATATATAATTTAGGTAACAGATCAGGTCGTAACCAGCTTACATTAGCATCCCTCTTTTTTGGAAAACCTTTAATTTTCCCATTCTTAATCTTTGACGGACGGTTTCTCACTCGTTTTAAGTCAAAATTTAATTTTTTGCACAGTTAGATCAGATTAATTGTGCTCTTTAAAATGATATCCACTTTGATATATTTTTCGAACAAAAAAATTGAGCCATTTTTTATCAGTCTATACCATATGGTATTGACTGGTATTGAAATAAGAACATACCTATGGTTTGAAAAGCGTACCATGGTGGTATGAACAAACCAAGACTGTACGATGGTTGAATACATGATAGTAGAAGTATATTAACTGTCATTTACGACTTTTATCATTGTGTACCACAATATACCACCCCGTACCAGGGTGGTATTGTATGGTATTGTGTGGTATTTTTTGGTCATGCAATTTGTTCGCCCAGAAATTTGTAGATCCAATAGATCATGATGAACTCGTCCCTTCTGTGCAAACGTTTTCAAAAACGAATTAAAAACGAAGAAAATACCATATGGTATGCAGTTGATACCGAGAGGCCATAATTTTTTTTCCTAAAAAAGTATTGAAAATTGATCTCATTTTGTAGAGCACGATGAACTCGTTCCATCTGTGCAAAAAAAATTAAAATCCGAGTTAAAACGAAAAAGATATGAGCCGATTAAAAAAGTTAGAAAAAATAAAAATGATATTCAATTCAACATCTTTAGATTTGGATTTTCTAAATAAAGCGTCCAAATTTGTTTATTGATGGGTGCATAACCCAATCTTGAGCGTATAATTTAGGAATTAAATCTCAGTGCCACCCAACACATGTGGACCAGTTAATACAAAATTAATAACAGTGCAGCAGCCGATACAGCGAACCGAAAAACACACATAAAAATAACATAAGAAAGGAGAGGGAAATGACAAATTCAGCCGTTTCCGGTTTCAACCTTTTGAAGCTTTGACAATTGACACACGGGTAGGAAGATCAGGTCTCTCCTCTCTGTTCAATTTTCCATCCAACAATGGGACCTCTGTTCTCTTCCCACTTCTTCACAACCCATTTATCTCTACTCGTTTGAAACTCGTGGGTTCACCGGAGAAACCCAAAAAGCTCCGACCTTTAACCACCTGAAAGCAAATAAGCCATGGCGCCACTCTCCTTCTTCTTCTTCTTCTTCTTTTCCTTCTCCTTACTGGCCCATCTCTCCGACGGAGCCGACAGAATCACCGCCAACCAGTCTCTCTCCGGCGACCAAACCCTCAACTCCGCCGGAGACGTCTTCGTGCTCGGATTTTTCCGCCCGACGGTCAACTCCACCAACTACTACATCGGAATCTGGTACAACTACAAGCTGGTCTCCCAACAAACCATAGTCTGGGTAGCAAACAGAGCAACCCCTGTTTCCGACAGGTTCTCGTCGGAGCTCCGAATCTCCGGAGGGAACTTGATCCTCTTCAACGAATCCAAGGTTCCCATTTGGTCAACGGGGCTGAACTCCTCCGCCGCTCCCGTCGACGCCGTACTCCTCGACCAGGGAAACCTCGTTTTACTCCCGGCCGGGTCTGGTTCGAGTTCAAGTTTAACCAAGCCGCGGTGGCAGAGCTTCGACAATCCGGCGGACACGTGGCTTCCGGGAGGCAAAATTGGGCTCAACAAGGTCACGAGGCAGACCACGCTTCTGACTTCCTGGAGGAACAACGAGGATCCATCGCCCGGCCCGTTTTCCTTAGAACTCGACCCGAATGGAACCAGTCAGTACTTCATCCTCTGGAATTTGACCAAGAATTACTGGACCAGCGGGGCGTGGGACGGCCGGATTTTCAGCTTGGTACCGGAGATGAGGCTCAATTTCATCTACAATTTCTCGTATATTGATAACGTGAACGAGAGCTACTTCACTTACTCGATGTACAATCAATCCCTAATTTCCCGATTCGTGATGGACGTCGGCGGCCAGATTCAGCAGCTCTCGTGGCTTGACTCGACAAAGCAATGGAATCTGTTCTGGTCGCAGCCCAGAACTCAGTGCGAAGTCTACGGCTACTGCGGCGCGTTCGGGAGCTGTACGGCGCAGGGTCAGCCGTTCTGCCGTTGTTTGAACGGCTTCGTCCCCAAATCGGAGGCGGATTATAAATCCGGGGTTTTTTACGGAGGGTGCGCCAGGAGGGCGAGCCTGCAGTGCGAGAACGGCAGCAATTCAACCGATTCGAACCGGAATCGAGATGGGTTCTGGCCGAATTACAACGTGGGGCAGCCGGATAACCCGCAGACGGTGGTGGGATCGGCGGCGAGTTCGCAAGATTGTGAAGCGGCTTGTTTGGGCAACTGTTCTTGCTCTGCTTATTCCTATGACGGTAATCAGTGCTCTGTTTGGTACGGGGATCTCTTAAATCTGCAATCGGACGCTACCGCGAGTGGGAAAACCATCTTCGTCAGGCTTGCAAGATCCGAGTTTTCGAGCTCCAAGAATAAAAACGGAATCGTGATTGGTGCCGTTGTATGCTCGATTGTGTTTCTGGGATTTGTTGGTTTGGTTGTGTTCATAGTGCTTAGGAGGAGGAGAAGGAGAATGGTGAAGCCAGGGAAAGCGATGGAAGGCTCGCTAATGGCTTTTACCTACAGAGATTTACAGAGCGCGACCAAGAATTTCTCGGAGAAGCTCGGAGGAGGAGGGTTTGGTTCAGTTTTCAAAGGCGTGTTACCCGATTCGACCGCCATAGCCGTGAAGAAGCTGGAATCAATTAACCAAGGTGAGAAGCAATTCAGAACTGAAGTCAGCACCATTGGGACAATCCAGCACGTTAACCTCGTCCGCCTTCGCGGGTTCTGTTCAGAAGGCGCTGATAAAAAGCTCTTGGTCTACGATTTCATGCCGAATTCTTCTCTCGATCACCACCTCTTCTTCTCAGAAGGCTCTAAAGCTCTTGACTGGGAAACAAGGTACAACATAGCTCTGGGAACAGCAAGAGGGCTGTTTTATCTTCACGAGAAATGCAGGGATTGTATAATCCATTGTGACATCAAGCCAGAAAACATCCTTCTGGATTCCGCATTCTGCCCCAAAGTTGCAGACTTTGGGCTGGCCAAGCTGGTGGGTCGGGATTTCAGCAGGGTCCTGACGACCATGAGAGGCACTAGAGGGTATCTGGCGCCGGAGTGGATCTCGGGAGTGGCTGTAACTGCTAAAGCTGATGTTTACAGTTACGGAATGATGCTGTTCGAGTTTATTTCTGGGAGGAGAAACACTGAGCAACTGGGAGATGGGAAGTTGAGATTCTTCCCCAGCTGGGCTGCGAGGGTTATTGACTCTGGTGGCGATGTTCTGACATTGGTGGATCCCAGGTTGGAGGAGAATGCTGAATTGGGAGAGGTTTCGAGAGTGTGCAATCTTGCCTTCTGGTGTATTCAAGATGAAGAACATCAGAGGCCTTCTATGGGTCAGGTGGTTCAGGTTCTGGAGGGGATGTTGACCGTTGACCTGCCGCCTTTCCCTAGATCTCTCAGGGTGTTTGAGGATAACCCAGAGAATGTTGTTTTCTTCAGGGATGAATTGTCAACCACCACACAGAGCTCGCAGACACAGAGCAATGCTTCTGCTGCTTCATCTCGTACGAAGAGTAGCAATTCATCGACAGGTACCTAGAGCCGGTTAGACTAGTGAATTGTGGAGGAGTATTCTGCCACACAGTTCATGGAGAGATGTATTGTATTTGTATCCAAATTCAACTGTTGGTCAAGCAAAACAAGAGGAATGGATTCTTGACTATAGATTCCAGATGGTAGGGTCGGGTGGATTGTACAAGAAAGGAAGAATATGCATCTCTCAAACGTATCTTCGCAATCTCTTACGTTTATGTCCATAGATTAGTTGCTCTAGCTTAGTCCTTTTTTCAAGCGTACCCTTAGATATACTTCTATTATTGGGCTTTGGTTGATAATAAGATTCTGGGATCAAATCAAATGGACAGGTAAGTCACTATGAAAGAACATTCCACGTTGAACAGAGCAAGGGCACAACATTTAGATCAATGACAATGAGCTTATAGTATGGGGGTTCAACAATAAGCTATATACATCAGAATTAGACTACACAATTCAGAGAGGAGAGAATTCTGTCTAAAACACTGTACTGTGTCTACATACGGCTGTACAAAAACCACATGGATGGAACTCTTTGGCCAGTAGGGAAACTAACTGCACATCTAGAAACTATGTGAGACTTACTGACTTTGTTTATCTTTATGGTGAAAGGTCGACCTAAATCTGTCTCCAATTTTCATGCATTCTTCAGCGCTTCCTGGAAACGAAGAATTCATAATCTGGCTGAACATTGTCCACCTTGATATTATCTTTACTTACAGAGCCTCTGGCAAGAAGTGATGCATTCAATTGCAGAGTTTGGAGTCTTCTGTTGAGAATTTCAGAATCACCAAGTGATTGCTTTCCAGTAGAGGATTCCTTCTGCCTTCTGATATCAAACCAGCATTCTCCCTAGAGATAAAGCTGACATGTTAGTACAGAAAAGAAATTAGAAGCAAAGATGTTCTGTTCTGGGAAGTTAACCGTGTAACCGAAATTCCCTTGATATGAAACCCAAGTTTGACAAAGTGTGGTATCGACAGGTACCTGTGTGTTATAGCTTTGTAACCCTATTGCTGGGAAGCTAGTTAGGGGAGTCGATTTATTGGGAGAGAGATCAGCCGTAATGTCTTTTTTCTTGACTGAATGGCCAAAGGAATGATATGTCAAAAATGATGCACGCAATTTCCCCTCTGGAATTCGGCATATAGGATACCATGCAACTGAGAACCTGAATGCCATATTAGTTGTAAATACTGTAAGTACCACAAGTTAAGAACCTGAAATAAAAATAAAAATGTATAGAATCCAGTTTTCAGGAGTGCAAACCACGAGGCAGGGTGTATTTCATTCAGTGTCAATGATACTAGCTTCTTCGGATCACCATATACTTGAAGATTAGGAGTTCCAGAATCTGAAAGCTCCAATATTCTGCAACAATTGAAAACAAGATCAGCCTGCAATTTTGTTCATTATTCTACCTTTCCCAAGTACAGCAAGTATTGTCAGATTGCAAAATTTGTACAGCGTAAATGGTCTTTTAGCAAAAGAATCAAACGCTTAAGTCAATTGCCATTGCAATAAGCTATTAAGATTCAATTTCATTCTCACTGGGTATGCAAGTCGATGCAATTTCTCTATTCTCATGAAATTACTGTAATCGATTCAGGAAATACTATCATGAAAAACTTTTACAAGTACCACGCCACCAACATAAAGTTTTCAAATTTGTACCAAGAACAATCATGAGCAAGATAAACTTACTTTAGGTGAAGAGGTTTTCGATTATATGGTTGTTCTGATTCAAAATATTCGAACAGGAGTTCTGAATTGATTGAGCATGATGGTGAAGAAACCGAACTTAGGCTTTCATTGTCCAATGACAAATGACCCATTCCACATCTGTCCAGTGAATCCATCAGAAGTGTGCTTCTAGGGGAAGAAGAATGCCATTCGACATCTCCCTTGTCTTTCATCTCAAAACTGACAGCTCCTTGATTGTTACCTTCTGAATTTGAGTGTACAGGGTACCCAAACAATTGAACAGCCGATAGCGAAGGAACAAAATGTGCATCAAATGGTGTTTTCTCATCCATGAAATCATTTAGATCTTGACGAGCTTCTATCCTGACTTTCAACCCATAACTTCCAGGATTTTCATACCAGTCCCAAAGAGCAGAAAGTGATACATCTTGTATCTGATTTTCACAAACACATCGACTTGATTGGTGATTACTTGAGCACACAGCAATTTTCTCACACACGAAAGATGCAGTGATAGCTGGACATGAAGCATTGAGAAACGTTTCAAAGTCTGCAAGTGGATATCCAATAGTGAACTGGATGATGCCAGACAATAGTTGCAGTTTATAAGCTGCAGTTAGAGCTTCCATCACTGCTCGTGATCCAACAAATTCATCAGTTTCTTTCAGTTTTTCAACATATTGATCAAAACTTGCTTCATCTTTCTTAGAACTATTCTGTTTTTCAACTGGAATTTCCTCAGAGTTTGGAGGTCTACTTTCTTCACAAGGTTCCTTCTTAGAAGGAATCACATATGAGATTTCGCAGTCAATTAAAGTGGCCGGTGGACAGAACGCCTCTTCGGCATAATCCTGCTTAGCAGTCCCATTGCTAGAAAATTTCTTCTTTATGTGAGAAGTAAATGTTATACCAGGATGAACTTTCTGCAGTAACTTGGATGTTTTGGCAGCAACAGGGACCCACTTGATAGCTGTTGCTTGACAAGAACCATAGTCTCTCAGTGCATTTCCGCCATGATTAAGTCCCAAGACTGGTTTACTGCACAGGGAATTATCAAATGGCTTATATGTTGCAGAATGGGCTCTAGGATTCGTCAAACTTGGTCCAGCCTTTTGTACATATGCGGATGTAGCTGAGTCTGTATTTGAGTAATGGTAGCCATGAGGAACCACATCAGGTTGGTTATGGCTAGCTGTGCTCGCAGCAGAAGAGTTTTCAACTGGGCGACGCAAATGCACACAATATTTTGCAGAATTAGTTGCTTTCCAGAAACCAACTCGAGCACATGATGATAAGTAGGCTGAAGAGCTCGGATTCGTTTTATGCACAGGAACCCAACAATGAGATTCAGGATGCCCTCTGGAAGGAAATGCATCTGGAAATTCAGGATCTCTAATGACCACATCTTTGTCGTGACGCCTTTGTGCTTCCTTAACGGTCCACTGATTCCTCAACCTGATAAGACCGTGATTTTCCTGACCTCTCTCCGTAAAGGAATGCCATTTATAGGAGTCTCCAGGGTCCCGGTGACTACTATTTGACTTACAGAACTTCCTGTAAGATTTAACTTTCACGGCATGGTGCTGATTGCTTTCAGACAATGGTCCAACAGATAGGTCACTCCAACCTTCCTCCATCAAACCGTTTGGTTCTATTACCATGCTGGTTTCTTTTCCGCTCATATTGAGGAAAGTTCCAGCGTTTCCAGGGACATAGTGTGAAGAATCTGCCGAAGCCCTAAACTCATCAAAAATACACACGGAACAGTTTCCTTCTCTTGTTGATGTTGCTGTATCAAGCATTTGACCTTCACATAGTACACGATTACGTGCATCCTCCTTAGATGAGAGAGCAGATGCGACCAAATGGTTTACACCAAACTTGTTGGTTCCGGTCTCAGGAATCATGAACTTCGAGGACCCTTTCACTGATTTTGCTGTCATATTTTTCTTCCCAGAGAGAGCACCAACCACAAGAACCCACTCTGCGATTCAGAGAGATAAGAGTGCTAACAAGAGCATTCGTCCAAAAAGCTCACAGAGATTATGAGGAACTCGTTCCCAAATAAAATTTCCCAGCTGATCTTTGTTGAATAATCACAATCCGAAAAAGGAGCATACCATCCTGTAACGAGCAGACTCTCAAGCGTCAGAAAGCAATGAATTGGCACAAGCAAACGACAAACAAGATCCCACAAGAGGGAAGTACGTAGAGAGTGGCGGTTCCCAAGCTTTAATTTGAAGCAACTGTGGAACTTTCGTGTATGCAAGACCAAGAATTGACAAGAAAATGGTCCGAATCAATCATTACAGACCATAATTCAACAGGAATCGGAGAAATGTGCAAGAGGGAAGGAGCTCATTATCTAACGCTTGAGGTGTGGTAGCCAAGCATAACCCATAAATCTTTTTCGAACGAACAAAAACTACAGAAGCAAAAGCAAAATTGACCAAGAATCACACAGAACACAACCACCCACAGCTATGGACAGAAGCAAAACAGAAACCCTAACATCAAGAAACTTAAGAGCTCGATAGCAGCAATTAGTAATGGGGGCAAAGCCTAGCAAAAGGCCAGTGTTGCAACCCAAGTAGTGAGAGGCAATACCAGAGGTTTTCCTTGCGAATCAGACAACTTGGAAGAGTGGAGAAAGAGAAGAGCACTTCCACATTGCGAATCAGGAAGCCATTATCGGAAAAAGAGCACGAAAGGAAGGGAGGAAAAGAGTATCCTGAAACAGAAAGATGGAAGGAGGAAGGAAGGAGAGGGGAGGTTTAATTTGTCTGGTTTTTGGGTTTTAGCGGGTTGGAGAAATTATGATGACAGTAATGCGAAGTTATTTTTGGTTAGTTAGCGTCGCCGTCTGTTTGTGGTGACAGTTACAGGCTGCGCGTGTGGCGTATCGTGTGTGGACTGGACGGTGATGAGGATTCATGCCTCTGCTACTGCCACGTTGGAGTCCCCTACTGATCAGCATGGTTATAAGAACAGAACCCGATTAATGGTTGAACAATTGAATTACTAAACCAGTTATAATAGTGGTTCGATTCATTTAATTGGATGGTTTGAATGGCCCAACGGTGTTTTATCGTTCGACATGAAAACATATGAACCATTATGGTTTAACTGGTCTACTGCTTCATAATTTTAACAACAAAGGCTTCATAATTTTAACAACAAATTAAGGAGAATTTTTTTTTTAACGTAAACTAAGATCATTCAATTTTAATCACTAATTTATTTATGCTTTCTTTTCTTCATTTTCCAGCCTTCTTGCCAGTTTTATGTGGTCCATTACGGATCTCACCATAATTACTAACTTGAATTTAATATTAATTTTTTTATTATCGTTGTGAGATAGTTTGGATACTTTATTAGAATTTTTTGGTGATAGATGATATGGATTTGAATTGTTCATGGTTAATGATATTCTCACTCCTAAATTAGTACATGATATGTCTTTTATATTATAACGCATGTCAACGATTAACCAACAGTTCGATAACGGTTAACTGTTGAGCCATTAACCACTAATTTTTTTTGATTCAGCATTCGATCCGGTTCTGAAAACATTGTGATCCAGATTCTTCTTTAGCCAACTCCTAGTCCTATGGCGCGAAGTGCGATGAATGATGATACGATATCCAATTATCCATCCTCCTCTAATATGTGGGCCCCCTCCAGGGTTGGATAGCGTCACAACTAAGTGCAATTTGGATAATCTAAAAAAGAGTCTTATTAATTACTTTCATTTTTGTATTAATCACAATTTGAAAATTTAAAATCCATATTAAATATATTACTTTATTTTTAAATTTAAATCCTACCAAAAATACATTTCTCTCTCTTCCTATCTCTCTCTTCCTTTTTCAGCAGTCACTCTACTCTGACTGGTTGACTTTCCGACCGATAGATTTTTTCCGATGAAATCCTTCAATCAGACTCTCTTCCTTTTTCAGCAGTCATCTACTCTGACTGGTTGACTTTCCGACCGATAGATTTTTTTCCGATGAAATCTTCAATCAGACTCTCTCCGGCCACCTGCAAAAAATTATCACTCCAACAGTGGGCTAGTGGTAGTAATTTCCGTCTAGTGGTACGCTACCATTACCAGTGAGTAGTGGTAAGCTACCACTATCAATAGTAGCGGTACCGTACCACTACCATCGATAATTGTACCAGTGAGTAGTGGTAACGTATCACTAGTGGTGGTGGTAGTGGTACCACTACCACTAGTACGGTACGAGATGAAAATCACTACCACTAGAGACTAACAGAAAAAACAAAATATAGAATATGAAAAATCACAGATATGAAGAAAAAAATAGGGCTGAGGAAAGTGGGAGGCCAGTGACCTCACGGTGTTGGCGCGACAAGGGACGCAGAGGCGGCGGGGTAGCATGGTGCGGCAGGGGGCGACGCAGAGGTAAAGGTGGAGGTCGGAGGGTGGCCGCGGCCATGACAGAGGAAGAGGGAGGTGAAGTGGTGGAGGCGGTAGCGTTTGCGGGAGAGGAGGAGGAGGAGAGGGAGCTGAATGACTAGGGTTTTGTTAGAGATAGGGTGAGAGGGGAGGAGAAGGGAGACGAAGGGAATGGAGAGAATGGGATCTAGTTTTTTTTTTTTTTTTGTTAATGAAGAGTATTTATATGAAAAATGGAAAGGATCTCATTGGTAAGTTTTTCATTCTAAAATTGCTCCTAGATTAATCTGCACCACTAATTAAAAAAAAAGGAAGAAAGAGAAGTGAATGGAGGGCTAGGATATGAGTTGCCCTATTTTATGATTACTTCCCACTCCTGTCGTCTTCATTTATTTTTGAATATTTTGCTGATTTGATTAATGAGAACACAATCAGCAGTTCAACACGTCATGGAGTTTTGTGAACCAGCCAAACCGTTAAGAACCTTTGGGTGCATTCTAACTGTCCAAACTAGTGAATCAAACTGCTATTGTAACTGGTTTAGTGGTTCTACTGACCCAACCATTAATTTGGTTGGTTCTTATAATAATAGTTTTAAGAGCTAAGTTATCTCTATTTAAAAAATGATGCAACGCGAGTAATTATTGGAGGGGAAAATAAGATTTTAGTTTAAATTAAAACATTCAAAATAGTGTAATGTCTATTTTTTATTCAAACATTTTTCAGATTCTTTTATATTATTCAAATTTATTAAAATGCTATTAATTAGCCAAATATCTCGTAATGCATCAAAATATTAGCCCTTTTTTTACGTAATTGTTAATAATTTATAAATTTTTTCTTAGTTAAAATACTAAAATTTTGGAATGTTGACCTTCAAGTGTCTTTTTCGGATAATCTCTCTCTTCTTTTCTCTCTCCTTTTCGCTCTTTGAAGGAAACCTAATCGGGCGATGGCCGCCTCGCCGTCGGCCACTCCGGCTGGTGAGGGCACTTCCTGGGCGAGCCTTTTTGCGGTGGCTCCTGACAAGAGGCTCACCTTCCGTCCCCCCTGAGAAGGTCAAGGATGGTTTTCGCATCCCGAATGAGGTAAAGGAGAAGGGCGCTGAACGATGGAAGGATTCACTAGTGGGTCAGTTCGTTGGGAAACGTCCGGAGGTTGTAGAGCTCCAGTCTTGGGCTAACAAGCTATGGGGGAGGGATGGTCTTATTCGTGTCTCGCGATTTGGTCCGAAGATGTTGGTATTTCAGTTCCCCTCTTCTTCTTCTTCTTCGAGTGATTGGGTTCTTACTTCGGGACCTTGGCATTTCAAGGGTAATTCGATATTCTTTAGGAAGTGGGAGGTGGGGATTCAGCCGGTTGAGTCGAAGGTAGCAACACTTCCAATTTGGGTTACGATCAGGGGATTGCCTCTAGAGTATCTGGGAAGTGATGGAGTTGAATGGGTCGCTAGAGTTGTGGGTAAGCTGCTCTGGACTGATCAGACAACTAGGGTTGGAGCACAATTGGGATTCTCGAAAGTTTGCATTGAGTTAGCAGCAGATTGTGGGTTCCCTAGGACAATTTGTTTCTATCCTCACAATGACCCTGATCTTGAAATTGGTATGAGTATTTTCAATTACCGAGGGTGAAACACCCTAACCCGGCCGGGTACTACTTTTACTGAAATGCCATTGATAAATAAAATACTCAAATCTTAAATTGCAGCGGGAAAAATTTTCATAAATAAAATTCTCAAACTTTAAAATCTCAATCTGATCTCCAGTCTATACTCATAATCATAAATGTAAATAACTAATAATCTCTAATGTTGTTGCTACTGAGACCTTAGAAACCCCTTTTGGGTCACTAGAACATCCTCTCCTCGACAGTCAGCCCTCGAGACTCGCTCCCATGGTCCCATAATCCCCTTTAAAATTTTCTAAAAACAATCCCTTCAAAACCGACCATTTTTCCTAATTGTTTTTGTCTTGGACGAATTTTCCACCTACCTTGAACCTTCTCAAAAATTAGGATAATACTTTTTCTACATCAATCATGAGTACTTATACCCTGGAAAATTATCAAACCCCTATAAACTCCTCGGAATTATTTTTATTTAATTAAAATGAATGTTCAAACAATTTCTAAAATTAGAAATACATCTTCAAAAATCCCTAAATTAATTCACAGCCATCTGCTAGGCCTCCCTCAATTTATAAAAATTATAAACTCGAGAACAAACCCCCAAAAAGACTCAAAACAATTTAAACCATCTAAAACAAATTTCTGGAAATTCCCAGCAGCTTTAGTGACCACCCAAACCCTGTCACTAAAAGCCTGATCGCCTGTTGCTAAAACCACAGAATTGCACCCTCAAGAAAAACACAAAATCGATCGATCTAACTCAAAGGGATCGAGTTCCCTTACCCTAGAACGTGCCTAGGCCTAGATTGGCTGATCCGGGACGTTGATCTTCTCGTTGATCGAACCCTCATCGTCACCGCTAATAAAAATCGAGCTTCAAATCAGTCTAACGATAAATCGCGTTTAGAAATCGCGAAGGGGGGTTCGTGATCCTTACCTAGAACACGAGAGGGATGGGATCGATTGATTGGCGACGGCTGGTGGGGTTTTCTTTCTCGCGGGACTGCTAGCGATTGGAAAAGAGGGCGGCTGTTGAGGGGTTTTTTTCTTGATCGGCACGGGGCTTGGGAAAAAGAGAGAGAGAGAGGGTTTGGTAAGGGAATCAATTGGTGGGAGGTCGGGGGGTCTGCTTGGGAAAAAAAAGCAGAGGCGGCTGATTGGGAATTAGTGGGGCGGGGTTCTCTCGGCTCCTAGGCCCTCTCTTTAATTTTTTTTCTCATACTAATATAATAATAATAATTAAATAATAATAATAATTTTTATTACTACTAATCCGCGATTGCAACCTTTAGTACGCAACTGTCAACCCAATCGATCACGTATTATGGTCGAACCATAACCCAAAATTCGGGGTGTTACACTTCCTCCACCCTTATAAAAATTTCGTCCCCGAATTTGAACGGTAGCGCAAACACTTGAACGATTTAACGCTGACTTCGAAGGAACGATGCTAGTTGGGATATAACATTTCCCTCTCCCTTAAGAAATTTCGACCTCGAAATTGTTGGTTGAACTGGGTTGCTAGCAATCGTAAAACCGGTCTGAACCACCAGGTCTTATTATTGATAAATCGAGAAATGGGGACTAAAAAGAGTACTAAAAGTGAGAGTACACAAAAGTTCGTCCACTACCAATCTAAACATCAACAAACAACTCTGGGTACCTCTCTCTCATGCTACTCTCTGTCTCCCAAGTCGCAGCCTCGCTGCCCTGGTTTCTCCATAATACCTTTACCATGGAAATCTTCTTCCTCCTCAACTCCTTTTCCTGTCTATCCACGATTTGGATTGGAACCTCCTCATAGGTCAAATCGTCTTCCAACTGAATGTCCTCGTGTCTGATCACATGCTCTGGGTTGGATCGATACGCCCTTAACATGCTGACATGAAAAACGTTGTGGATCCTAGATAGGCTGGGGGGTAAGGCTAGTCGATAGGCTAAAGGTCCAATGCGCTCCAACACCTCATATGGGCCGATATATCTCGGACTAAACTTTCCCTTCTTACCAAATCTCATCACTCCCTTCCAAGGGGACACCCTTAGGAATACCATATCCCCCACTTCATAACTTTGTAGGTTCCCTGGCCTCTCGGCATTACTTTTCTGCCGATCCTGAGCTGCTTTCAAGTTCCGGCGAATCAACTCCACCTTCTCCACTGACTTCCGTACCATCTCCGGACCCTCTAGCTGTCGTATGCCCTATGCATCACAGTACAACGGTGTACGACACTTTCTTCCATACAATACCTCATATGGAGCTGCTTGTATCGAGCTGTGGTACTGGTTGTTGTAAGCAAACTCCATTAAAGGTAAATGCTCGTCCCAAGCTCCTTCCATGGTCAAGACACACACCCTCAGCAGGTCTTCCAATGTCTGAATCGTCCTCTCTGATTGCCCATCCGTCTGAGGGTGATATGCGGTAGAGAAGTGAACTTTAGTGCCCATTGCCTTCTGAAGACTCACCCAAAATTGTGTCGTGAAGCTAGGGTCGCGGTCAGACACGATACTAAGTGGAACCCCATGCAATCTCACTATCTCCCTAACATACAGCCTAGCCACCTCCTCCAGCCCTGGCTTGAACTTGATGGGTATAAAATGAGTCACCTTCGAGAAGTGGTCCACAATCACCCATACTCCATCATTTCCCCTTGGGGTCCTCGGTAAACCATACATAAAATCCATGGTGATCTTCTCCCAAGTCCACTGCGGGATCTCCAACGGTAGGTGCTCAATGACTGGAGCTTGATGTTCAGCCTTGATCATTTGGCACTCCAAGCACTGGTAGACATGTGTAGCTACCTCCTTCTTCAATCCTGGCCACCAGAAATGCTCCTTGAGGGTACGATACATCTTAGTAGCCCCAGGATGCATTGCATAGGGTGCAGAGTGAGCTTCATCCAGGATATCCTTCTTTAGCTTGTCGACATCTGGGACACACAGCCCTCTTTGATACATTAGCACCCCATCTACCTGTTTAAATTTGGTGTCCTTCCCTTCTAACACTTGCTTCTTGTACTTCTCTAATTCCAAATCTTCACTATGCTTCTCCTTGATTCGTTCCTGCAGCATAAGACGAATTTTCAAAGTTGCTAGCAACTTGGTTACCTCTTCTAGCTCCAATTCCACATTCATGGCCCTCAAACAGACCAACTCCGGTAAAGGGCTCCCCCTCTTCCCGCTCAAAGCGTCAGCCACCACATTTGCCTTTCCCGGATGGTACTTAATGGTGCAGTCATAATCGATCAACAGCTCCACCCACCTTCTCTGCCTCATGTTCAACTCCTTCTGATCAGTCAAGTGTTGGAGGCTCTTGTGATCCGTGAAGATGGTGAACGTTTCGCCGTAGAGGTAGTGTCTCCATAACTTCAAGGCAAAGACCACTGCTGCCAACTCCAGGTCATGGGTGGGGTAATTCACCTCATGGGGCCGTAGCTGCCTCGAGGCATAGGCGATCACCTTCTTATCCTGCATCAGTACACAACCCAAGCCTTGGTAGGAAGCATCGCTATAGATGGAATACTCCCCACCGCTGGTCGGTAGTGCCAGCACCGGTGCAGAGGTCAGCTTCTCCTTCAGCATCTCAAACGCCGTTTGACACTTCTCGTCCCAAACAAATGCCTTCCCCTTCTGCAATAGCTGTGTCATGGGTCGTGCAATGCTGGAGAACCCTTCCACAAACCTCCGGTAGTACCCAGCTAAACCTAGAAAACTTCGTACTTCGGAAACATTCTTTGGTGGAGCCCAGTTTGTTACCGCTTCAATCTTTTTGGGATCCACTTCAACTCCCCTTCCCGAAATCATGTGACCCAAGAACAAGACCTCCTCCAACCAAAAGTCACACTTCGAGAACTTGGCGTATAGCTTCTCCTCTTTCAATTTCTGCAAAACCACCCTAAGGTGTTCTTCGTGCTCCTCCTTACTTCTCGAGTAGATGAGTATGTCATCTATGAAGACGATGACAAACTTGTCCAAGTACTCAGAACCTGGTTCATTAGTGCCATAAAAGCTGTCGGTGCATTGGTCAGTCCGAACGGCATAACCAAGAACTCGTAGTGGCTGTACCTAGTGCAAAAAGCTGTTTTGGGTACTGAACCATCTGCCACCCTCAACTGATGATACCCTGACCGTAGATCGATCTTCGAGAACACCCTTGCTCCTTGTAGTTGGTCGAAGAGATCATCTATCCTTGGCAAATGATAGCGGTTCTTGATGGTAGCTTTGTTCAACTTCCTATAGTCAATGCACAATCTCATACTGCCATCCTTCTTCTTCACGAATAACACTGGTGCTCCCCATGGTGATGCACTAGGGCGTATGAACCCCTTCTCCAACAGCTCCTGCAACTGCTCCTTCAACTCCTTTAAATCCACTGGTGCCATATGGTAAGGAGGAATAGATATCAGTGTCGTGCCAGGAATCACTTCAATATCAAACTCCACCTCTCGCTACGGCGGTAGCCCCGGAAGATCTTCGGGAAATACCTCGGGGTATTCCCTGACGACAGGTACATCTTCTATCTTCTTCTCTTGCACCTCCTTAGCATGAGCTAAATATGCCTCACATCCTTCTTGAATTAATGAGAATGCCTTAACCACGGAGATTAAGCACCCAGGGATAAGCTTCTTAGTCCCTTTAAACAAAGCAGTGCCCTTTCCTTCCACCTCCAGGCTAACCTCCTTCTTGTAGCAGTCCACCTTTGCTCTATTCTTTGACAGCCAATCCATACCCAGGATTACATCAAACTCGTCGAAGGGTAGTAGAATTAGGTTCGCCTCGAATTCGTGCCCCGCCACGGTGATAGCACAATCCCGGATGACTGAGTCTACTATAAGGGTATCCCCCACTGGGGTCCTGACCCCTAAATTCTGCCCCAACCTCACAAATGGGATCCCTAAGGTTCTAGCAAGCTTGGTAGAAATGAAAGAGTGCGTGGAACCGGAATCAAATAACACAAAAGCGGGCTGGTTGTAAAGCGAGATCATACCAGTCACCACCTCAAGTGCAGCGTCAGCTTCTTCTCTCCTCATGGCAAACAGTCTTGGTTGCCCAGATGCTTGAGATCCTTGCCCTCGATCTCGCTCATTTCGGTTGAACCGCCCTGCATTTCCTCCCTGCTGGTGATTAGACCGGTTTGGCTGGTTGCCAAACTGCTGTGCGGTCTGAGTTCTTCCTCCTCCGCCCCAGACTGATTGCTCGGACTGGGCCCTCCCCTGTCCTCCTCCTCTCCTAGGGAAATCTCTGGCATAGTGGCCCGGCTCGTTGCAGTGATAGCAGATGCCTCCCAGATGCACCTTGCACTCTCCCGGGTGAGTTCTCCCACACTGGTTGCATGGGTCCCGAGGAATGTAGGTCGGCCCTGATCTGGTTGAGCCGGCCTGACTCTGGGTGGCCCCATAGTAGCTCTGAGATGGTCTCCTTCTCTGCTGACTCGGCTGTCCAGGCCCCTCCGACAGGCTAGTAGCCTTCCTCTTGTTCCCTTCTCGTTGCATCCCTTCCTCAT